GGAGTGATGGCTGGGATGGCGTCGACGTTCTTCTGGATCTGAGGGCCGATGTCTGCGGGGTTTGCGATGTCATACGGGTATTGTTTAGTGAACATATAGTAAGCGGTGGCGCCGATAGACCAGACATCGGCCACCAATGGGTCGAACTCTTCTTTGGCGGGATCGCCGTACATCTCCGGCGCCTGAAATGTCTGCACATCTGTGGGTCGGCTCGCAATCGGAAGGCACGCAATGTTTTGGATGTCTTCCTTCTCGGGATTCCAATAGATGGCCGCGAATTCAAAGCCCGACAGTTTGACTCTCATCTCTTTGTGCGACAATAGGATGTGCTTCGGCTGTATTGACCGATGGCTGACACCGATGTCACCCAAATAGTCGAGTGCTTTGAACAACTGCCACAACCAATTGCCGATCTGTTTCTCATCGACGGCCGCGTTCGCCAAATGAGCCATAACTGATCCCTTGTTCGCCAACTCTTGGAATATCAGTATTTGTTTGGTCGGCTCATCGCTGAACACATCCCAAGTCTGACAGATGTTCGGATGCTTTTTGCCTAAAGTGCGCAAAATCTTGAGCCAAAGGGAAGAGTTGGCATCGATTCCGTGTTCGCCTTCGTATATCTTGACGGCTAAAGTGCTGTCTTTGAACTCCTGGTGCTGTGCTTTGTATACTTTACAGAGCGCTGACTCTCCGATCGGTGCATCCATTTGAACGGTATATCGACTGAAGTATCGGTGATTTTTGGGCAGCGATGGCTTCTCTTTGTTGATCCGCTCGACCGATGCTTTCAACAGACCCTTCATATACAACAACTTCTTATTGTCGAAACTCGGATCCGCCACGCCTTCGGTGGGCGCCGCTCCCGGAGCCAGCACTCCGTCTTTGCCGACACCTTTGCCACCGGCGGCGCCTCCGGCAGCACTCCCGGCCGCACCACCGCCTGCACCGCCCGCTCCACCGCCTCCTTTACCACCGGCCGCACCACCGGCTCCGCCACCGCCGACAGTCGACGGCGCGACTCGAAGTCCTTTCTCTCCTTTGTGTGATTTGTGTTTCTTTTTGCCGTCTTTTCCCTCCAAGTATTGAACCATTCTTTTCGTATAGAAAGGCATTTCTGACACGAATTCAAAATGCGATCCAAATTCTTGTCAATATATTCTTTGGATGTCTTTGGAGAGGCTTTTCCTACAATCAGATATTCGCCACTTTATGCCAACCGTTGACTTAGAAATCATATAAATCTAATTTTTCAAATCATTGGCGATTAATAGCGAGACTTATTGTTTGCAAATTCATGTAATTACTAAACACTGTATAAAAATTGTCATAAAATGTTTTAATTGTTGTATTTTCTGAAATCGCGAGAATAGTGTTATCAAAAATATTTAACAATTTTCAATGAATTGTCAGAAATTAGTATTAATTTTAAGTTATAATTATAACGAATGACTCTCAACTTAAAACAATTATATGTAGTTTTATATGATTTTAAGCAAAAGATGCTTTCAATTGCAACACAGAATTTCAGTATTTAGTAATTTAATAATTAATTATAAGTACAGTATTTACAAGAGTTGGGCAAACATTCAATATAAAACAATAATTGTCGAAATAATTCTAATTACACAATAAGTAATACAATTACTAAATTAGATGTAATAATTAAGAAATAAGTAATCTTAACATTAACCCCACTTAATATGACTCTCGTTTCCAAATAATAACATTTCCTTTGCTATCACTGGAAGCCAACAGACTTTCGTCATAATTGAAACACACGTCCAGAACGGGCGCCGAATGTCCCTGAAGTTTGTTAACGCATTTGCTTTTGCAATACTTATTTTCCTCGACAGTAAAGAAGTAGACACACGTGTCTTCACAACCCGTCACAACACAAACTCCCTCTCGATTCGAGATAATCGGACAAAAAGAGCTGCGAATTATTAAATCCTTGTTCTGGTGTTTAATGGAAAAACTCTGAATAATCTCAAGATTCGCTTCTCTGGGAATCACTTTAAATAATAGTAAAGCATTGCAGGCGCTGTTCACCAGAAGCAGGGGCTCGCTATTGACCAGACCTGACACACACCGGTTGGAGATGGATGTGATGGCACAACCGGCCACTACTATCACTTTGTTCACTAAAACCAATCGACAGCTTCTCATCTCGAATATGAACGACGAGATGAAACCCTTTGAATCGCCGACCCATAGGGTGTGTCCCGTAGTGTCAAAACACAGACACAGAATTGAATTGTGTTCATCGCCATCGAAGGCCACTCTCTTCGTGTATATACCAGTTGACACGTTGAGCACCTGAAGACAGCCCTTGGCATTGGCCGCCACTACCATATTGTTGTTATAGGGATGGAAGACACAGGCCATCACTGGACACGCGTACGGGTCGTCTATAGTGCGAAGACAATAGCCAGAGGCCGCGCCCCACAACTTGACGGTCGAGTCCAGCGAACAGCTGACTATCAAGTCGTTAGAGAGCGACCACTCAAAGTCGACGACACCCGCCTTATGTCCTCTCAACACATAGAGTATTGTCGCCGGCGATGGAGTCAATTGACATATGGATAGAGTCGAGTCCATCGATGAGCAACAGAGCAGCGACTTGTCGTCGTTGGCGAATCTGATGGAAGTGACCGCTTCTTTGTGCTGATCGAAGATGTGATGCATTCCTGAAAATGAGTAGTTCTCGGAGAAGGCGTTCACCACATTATGACGGCTCAGATCCAGACCGTAGTTTGGTATCAATCGGTCATAGAATGGATCCGATTGTATGGCTGACCAAAGCGGACGACCCGATCGCGAGTCCATTGAGTCTTCGGACGCCAATCGGCTGTTACTATTGCTTCGGACGTATCGATTGCGGCCACTGTTGGACACAAGACATGGATTATAAGATACATTCGTTTGGATATAAAACGAGACAATAATACTAACGACTGATCGCAAGAAATGCCATATTTTTGGCTTAAGAGTTGTGACCGGAGTTTGAGGTATTGTTTTCGGTATGAATTCAACTCACGTTTGGATCTCTCCCTTAAGATCTGATTTCTTCGCTTAATATACAGTATTTCTGATGAAATCAAAAACATTAATAAGTAATCAATCGTTAAATAGATGCAAAAGTATGGATCAAATGGAGTGATAAATGCAAATAATTACTGATATTAGGGTTTCTGAAGACATTATACTTGACATCGATTGCAATGATTTGTTGCCAAACGATATGACATTTGTATTGATTTGTATTAGTGTTTGAATTCATATCGTAAGCAATGAATCGCTTAAATCATAACTCAATTGAAATCACATTTTTGTTTGGCTTTCACTCAATGTTTACAATCTTTGCCTAACATTACGTCACGTATTGTTGTCTGCAATCATTGCTTGCATTCAGTATTCACTCATTCATTCAGTCATTATTCTTATACTTAATTCTTATGAAACTTTAAATTCAATTCAATTTTATACAAAGTGTCTACAGATATGTCATTATTTAAAATATCATTTTAAAATTTAAATATTATTTATACAATGAATTGAAAACATGACCGCAATCTGTATATTGAGTACAAATATCCTGAATATGTGTACAGAATATGTTAGATATGTGTCCGACAAAGCATTCAAACTATTTCTAATAATATTTTCGGACAATTATTAACACAACTTTATAAATACTGTCTTAATTATAATTTAACAAATTAATGCAATCATATCAAAAATAATCAATAGTTGCAATCAATGTCACCATTTGTGTGACCACTGTTACAAAGTTGGTATATGTTACATTAGTGAGGATAGGCATCTTATGTCAATTTATACATTGTATACTTACATGGTTAACATATTAATTGTTTTAAATAGATGATTGAATAGTTTTTAGTTAGTCATAAGGCTTATGACATAAGGTGTTACCAAATGTTATCACAATTTTCAAATACCGAGTTATTTGTGATTTCATTGTAGAAATGCAATCATAACTTATATTTTATCACAAAAATTCATATTTTCATATATTTTTGTCGCGAATAAATGAAAGTCAATTTTGGTCTCAATTAGTAATTAATATCCAATTTTATTCCCAAAAATTAATGAAATTTTGAGTTACATATCATTTAGTAATACATTAAATACCAGTTTTCACTACTTTTTTACTCACATTTAAAATAAAAATTTTGAATTGTTTTTAGAATTTTTTTCAAACGAGTACTTCATTTTGGAAATAAATAAAACACTTAAATAGTAGTAATAAATACTTATTATAGAAATCGAAAATCAGATTAAAATAAAGGAAATATAAAAATTATTTAAATATTTTTCAAAGTTTTTTAGTTAACTGTAAGTGTTTTTTGAGAGTCGAGACTAGAATTAGACATAAAATAGTTGTTTTGAAAGGTTTTTGAAGGGGAAAAGAGTTGATAATTTTGTATTAAAAAGTAATTTGAGATCAAGTTTTTCCAACATATTAATAGCTAAAAGATGTTTCGCTTATTATTTGTTAGTTTATGAAATAAAAACTTTTTCTTCTTTACAGTAAAACAAATTCTCAATGAATTTATCACAAAATGGAATAAAATATTTTTTGTTGTTATTTTTCATGTTGTTTAGCAAATAATGGCTAAAATAATAATAATATTTAATAATTAAAATAATTAAATGACTCGAAAGAGTGATTTCATTTGTTAACATATAATAAGATTTTGTTGTTTATGAGAGAAAAGGAGTTCTTATATAAAGTTTCGGATTCTTGTATTTGTATTACATTTGTATTGCATCTAAATATATGTCAATATCGAAGCGGAGTCTTAACTATTCATTTTTAAAAGAGATATCGAAAACAGACTTTTCTTTTCAATTATAATTATAATAATTTAAAAGTAATATTAATATTAATGAATGCTTTGTTTTAATGAGAAGTTAAGGGACAGACGCGGACTTAAAAACTAAAAATTTCTTTTCGCAATATTTATGAAACGTCTGTCGCCGCGGCCTCGGGCTCATCGGCTGGCGCGCCGCCACTCGACTCCTTTTGTTCGCCATCGCCTGTAAACACACCAATCCATGAGTCAAATCAACTAAACCTTAAGCCAATTCACATACCGTTGTGCTGCATATCAGATGTCCATAACGTGAGGTTATCTCTCAATAATTGCATTATTAGAGTCGAGTCTTTATAGCTCTCTTCGGAGAGAGTGTCGAGTTCTGCGATGGCGTCGTCGAAGGCGGCCTTCGCTAGCCTACAGGCCCTCTCCGGTGAGTTCAGGATTTCGTAGTAAAACACAGAGAAGTTCAGCGCCAAACCCAGGCGTATGGGATGTGTTGGCGGCAATTCTGTCATCGCTATATCGGAGGCCGCCTTATAGGCCACCAACGAGTTCTCCGCCGCCTCTTTCCGGTCATTCCCTGACGCGAACTCAGCTAAGTATCGGTGATAATCACCTTTCCTTTAAGACATAAACACAAACATGTATTAATACAATATAACACATAATACACATTAAAATACATACATTTTGTAATAAAACACTTTGGATTCACCGGTAGAAGCGCTTGGGATCAAGTGTTTATCCAACACATCGAGTATATCAAGACAGATGTCTTTCAACTCCTTCTCCACTTGAATTCTGTAGGTCTTAATCAACTCAATGCGAGTCTCGGATCCCTTGAGCTCCTCCTTCTGCTCGATGGAGCTGATGATCCTCCACGAGGCCCGTCGGGCGCCGATCACGTTCTTGTAGGCCACAGACAGTAGGTTCCGCTCCTCCACAGTCAGATCGGCGTCGATAGTGGCCACGCGTTTCATCGCTTCCACCATTTCTGACAAACAAAACACAACACAAATACCATTAATAAAGATAATCAGCTAATTGTGGCCCAAATACAAGACATGCATTGCTTGCTATACAGCTATGGAGGGCAGGAGTGGGTGTGTGAGGGAGTGAAGGGGTGGTGAGGAGTGGGATGTGTTGGTGACCACTTCGGGCCGACACTTACCATCATATCGTTCTGCCTGTTCCGCGAGTTTCGCTTTATAGACGTTGTCTTCTCTATTCTCTGCCATTACTTCGGTTTTCACGGATTCACTGATCACTCAATCACTTGACAATTGACGCAAATATTACAAATCAATGCTTCAATTGAGTGAATGCTGTGATAATAGTGTGTATAATGTGTTGAATCTTGTGTTGAATGTTGTATTGAATGGTAATATCAATCGAAATCCCAATTAAATAATGTTTGAATGGATTAGTGTTTGAGAAGTGAATGGAAAATGAGTTACGGTTTGAGTGTTTGAGAGACTGAATAACAATTGACTCGTTCTCTGGAGTCGACTATAACTCGACATAACGTCAAAGCAGTGGCCAATCGTTGCGCACAAAACACACACAACACTCACTCCACACACACTCTCTCGCACTCTCTCACAGCGCTCTCCCATACGCTCTCTTCGCACTCCAAGCCTAAGCATTGCTATGAGACTAGAGGTCGACATTGAGCTCCACTATCCCTCTGACGACAACACATTCACAACACATTCACTCAACACTAAACGCCTAAACCATTCACTATTAGGGCATTCAATACAATAGCATGTATTATGGGTTTACTTATGCGGTATATCTTATCATTGATTGCATTGGCTATTGATTATTGCCATTAAAGTTAATATAACTTTTAATTATTTAGATTTCTCTCACTTCTTGTGTCATTTCATTTCACTATTAGTTGTATTTGTGAATAGTTTTGTCTGCAATTCATGTTTAGTCGATGTGTTTGAATGCAAAACAGGGATCAGTTTAAGAAGCATAGAGTCATACATGTTATTCCCATAGAGTGTTATCCGATAGACTCTATTCATGTACTCTCACTTCACAACCAATTTCCTACATCTCTGGTCTATTAAACCCATTCATTCAATTCACATATTCTTGTATAGAGTTGAGTGTGAATTGTATTAATTGTGGTTATATATTGCTTATTTCGAAAGTTACCAAGTTACAAGTTTAGTACTAACTCATGTCTATAGGAATCGTAAACCAATTCTACAACACATTGAATAGAGGCTACTGTTTAAGCAATGATTAGATTTATAAACTTAAATACAGTTAAAGATTATGTTATTATCATTAGTACTGATAAAAACATTAAGGAATCGTTTGATTCCCATCTCATTGTCTGTTTGTTATAGTAATCAATATTAATATGAATTTTCTCAAACTTTTATTGCAATATTTAATGAGTTTATTGTAATGATTAATGAGGAAATATTTTTAATATAGAATAAACGAGATTTTAATTTGAATTCTGTGCTAACATTTATGATAAATGCTCTGTTAATGTATTAAATTATACAATTAAATGCACTTAACATTTAATCCATTTTATCAATAACTGATTGAGTGATATCTGAATTCAATTTTAAGTTTGGATTGAAGTTAAAGTCTAATTGATTGTGAAAACCATATTATTTATTATAATCATAAACATTGGTTTTTATAGATTTTATAATTAGTTTTTTAATTGGTGTTTAATATTCTTTATCAATATTTACTTTAATTGTAAATAATTTTGTACTAATTTTATCTCAAACTCATCGGACTTTTCTCATGAAATTCTAAAACATTATTACATTAAAAATATTTTTGCTTTAAACTCAAAAATTTGTGTCCCTTTTCTTGTGTTTCGTAATTAAATTCATTTTCGTATGAATTTATGGAGATTTAGGAATGGATTTTGAGTTTTTATCAAATTTAATGAAATAATAAATTCAAGTGTTTATAAGTTTATACTATATTAAGAAAATTAAATGTAGAAAACAAACAAAATATAATTACCTTTTATTTTAGGGTTTTATTAGAAAATTGTGCCTAAATTTGAATACAGGGATGGGTTTTGGATGATATGGAGGTGTTGTGAAAGAAATAATTTAAATGTCATTCACATTACGCGTTATGTCTTACGTAAGAATTGGGTACTGATTACTAATCAACTGATTAGCTATTCTTACATAACTGTTAAATACAACTATACGACACTTAAGGCTTACATGCGTTTAAAATACTGTATTCGCGTCACTGATTGCAAGTAATCTTTAAATATATATTAATTACAAATTCAAATACCGGTATATAATCGTCCCATTGGTTTCTATACGCCATTCCTATTCTCGCAGTGTTTTATGCAAATATTTATTGCAACTTCACTGATTGCAAGTAATCTTTAAATATATATTAATTACAAATTCAAATACCGGTATATAATCGTCCCATTGGTTTCTATACGCCATTCCTATTCTCGCAGTGTTTTATGCAAATATTTATTGCAACCAATTTTTCAAAGTTTATAAAAGTATGAATTTTTAGTCATAAATATTTTTAAAAATACTGTTTAAACTTTAAACCAAATTTATCAATGCATACATTTTAGGCACATATTTTTATCTCCAATTAAATAACAGACAATTAATTAGATAACAATCGGATTTACGTATAAAAAATTGAATTAATTTATTAGACTATAAATAAAGTTGCATTAATTGGTCGCTAACGGCGGCTGTAGTTAGAGTTCCCAAATCTGTTAAAAGCAATGTTATATAAGAGGGAGGCGTGTAGTCGACCAATGGGTGCGCCTCATAGTCGGGGCGATTGGATTTCCATTTGAGTCTTGAGGGAACGTCCGATTGGTTCAGTGGATACAGTCGTATGAATTTGTAACTCTCGGCCAATACATAGAAAGGCTTATTCATTGTCTTCGCGCAAATGGCCACCGAATAAGTGCCGATCTTTGCCCACAAAAATAAAGAGAATTAATATTTCTAACATTACGATCGATTGTGTAAACTATACCTTATTAATAATTCCTCCACTTTCTGCCACCCCTTCGGCGCCGACCAATACTATGTCCACTCTTTCCATAATATAGGCGACCGCGGAGTCGATGATTAAAGTGCTACTGATTCCGTTATTCTT